ACAAGTCAGCTCTGCTGAAGTTGCTGCGATACACTTGTAAGGCTAATGAAGATAATGTGATTTACTTCCAAGTAGATTCATGTTTTTGTAAGCTTAAGTGAACTCCGGGGGATGGTGGAGGACAGGAAGGCCTGGAGGAATGTTGTCCATGGTGTTGCGATGGGTTGGACACGACTTCGCTACTAACAAGAACAACAGATTCATGTTTCAGCTAGTTGTTTCTTGAGCAAGAGGACAAAGTCTTGGAAGCACACAGCAAACTTTATTTTCTTGATCAGGGAACACAGAGACACAAGTCAGAGAGAAGTCCAGGGGTGGGCATTGAAGGAGTCAGGAAAACAACTAAGCTGCTGCCTTGTATTGTGGGGCTCTGAGGTCCAATGGGACACATCCTCTCCCCAACCCAACCCACAGGGAAGGCAAGGACAGCACCAGCTGAGAACACACATAATGGTATACAACCAAGTGAAGCACAAGAAGTAGAAAAGTCGGCATAAAGCTGGTCATTAAAATTCCAGAATAAAAAAGAGGGGCAGCATGTTAGAGATGGAAAATGAGCAGAGCCATGTGCCACAGGTGTTATTCAGGTGATGCAGTACTGCAACAAAACTTTGGTGTATATGCAGGCCTTGTGAGGTATGCAAAACCAATTAGAATGCCATGGTAAGATACTAAGGAACTCATATGAATAGAATGGCTACCGGTGGCTGACTACAGAGATGTTGGACACAAATGCAGTTCAGCAAGTGGACATTCTGTGTGCTAAAGAAGGTATATGTCAACCTAATTGTCTACTTGACTAATCAAACTGTAGAGATGTAGCTGGGTTTCTGTTGCTACTAGTTATATGGCAGCTGTGCTGTGGGTATGCACGCGTGCGTGCGTGCATTCACACATAGCGCTAAGTCATGCTGCATAGGTAGTAATTGCATGGTATCTTAAGTTGGGGTTAGGGTTCAGGCAGGTGCGTGGTTTTCAGGTTTGAGTGGTTTCTACCCTCCTACATCCTCAATGACAGCAAGTATCCCATCAGCCCCCATGGCTGAAAATCAATCCCAGTGTGCACTGCTCTTGCTTATATTACCTGCCTCCTCCTCCCTGGCCCACATACTCTCAAGGGCATAGCCCCAGCCTGCTGCCTTGTTTGGGTTTTTCCCCCTGCTGTTGAGCAAAGCAACTGCTTGCTTACTAGAGTAGCACAGTTGATCTGGATTAGCACTATTTCTACCTTGCACTGTGCCACTGTACAAGCCCACAGACCCACCTCTACCCACTCCTTGCTGCACTTATATCTATATTCCCTTGTGTACAGAACTTGAACATGCTGCCAGAAGCTGCTTTCCCCCTGCAACCAGGCACACAGAGACATCAGCATGGGCAGCCATGCCAGGGACAAAGGAGCACATCCTGCCTTTCTCCCAAAAGCACAAGTGGGCATCTGCCGAAGATAGTTTTCTAGTTGCCTGTTGAACAGTGTTTGTTGTCTAGCTGTGACTGCGGAAGAGATAGGGACTTGTTGGCAGTCCCAAAGAATGTCCGGGACAAGATAAAGAACAGAGATACAAGTGGGAGGCGTAACAGGAACTATGGATTTTACAAAGTGAGCATCCAGTTGGCAATGCCCACATGCAATCTGCATGGTTCACTTGTGTAGGCATCTTTCACAAGAGATGAGCACATGTAGACTGCACAACGAGGAATTTCCAGGCACTGTCCGAACAACTTGCAGTGACCAGACAGGAGCACCAGGCAGACTGCTGCTAGAGATAGAGTGGCAGGATGATGTGCTGTTGCCAAAATTCCTAAGCTGCAGGCGAGCATCTGAAGGCAGCACATGGAAAAAGGGAAAAAGGAGGTCAGAGCAGCCAATTACACTGCTGCTGGTTGCAAGTCAGCAGTTGCTGGCCAAACGTGGACAGTGACAAGTGCAGCAGGAGCAGTTATTGTAGCTGCAGCCACTGTTTGCAAAGAACACTGGCAGAAATGTGGAAAACACATGGAAACATGGTTTCTGGGTTCAGACCCACAAACCAAGCCATGGTGAAGCATGAAAACTATAGAACAAGCTGTTATTTCTCTGCGTGGTTCCATGGAGACCTAACATACCATGCTTCACCACGGTTGCTGGGTTCAGACATAATGACAAGCCATGCCACAGTGGTTTCCACCATGGCTTGTAGTTACATATGAACTATTTCATATGTTCATATATGTTCATGTGTGTGTGTGTTCATATAGTTACATACAAACCTTTATGTCTGAACCCAGCTGGTGGTTGTGTGTCTGTAAAATGAAGGCCAAGAAACAGAACCTTAGCATTTGTTCTTTAAGCTTCTCTTACACCATCACTAAGATATAAATGCATATTTTACCTCTATATTTAAATTCAACTGTATTTAAATTCTTCATTCATATTTTGCTGTGTACTGCCAAGTTGTCTATGCATTCAGTTTGTCCAGTATATTAAACATAGTTGAACCTTAATGCATTATATTCCCCTGTATCAATAGTGACTTTCATAGCTTTTATCAAAGCAATTCTTTGTGGTTTGCAAATGCAGTGAATGGGCATAGATGGCCATAAAAGTTTAATAGAGCTGGATAAGATAGGATGACTATATGCTTTGGTCAGAAATAAATCCTAATATGAGAAGAGGTAGTTTATACAAATGTAATACGTTTCTGT